TTATGTAATCAATTGGTTAAATTGCATTTGTTTATTTCTTTGGTGTGGTTTAATTGTTTTAAATTATTTTAGGGCATTTAATTATTTATTTGCTTTAATTTAATTATTTTATTTTATTTATCTGAATTTAGGGTTTTATGTTTCTAGTTTAGCCGACACTGTTTTAAACCTAGAATATTCAATGGGCCAAGTTATTTATGGATTAGGGTTAATGTTTAAGTCTATAAATATAATTGCATGTGGGTTTAGGGTTTTAGAAAATTCAATAAAACCTATTTACGTAACAGAGTTCTACAAAGAATAGTGAGATACAGAGAGAGAAAAAAGAGGAGGTTTAGACCAAGGTTGGACCAAAAAGGAGGAAGGAGAGATGTTTTTGGGGTTGAACCAAGGCATTGGAGGAGCAGACTTGCAGTATAGGACACGAACATAGCTTATAGAGACGGTGAATTAAAATTTCAAATCTGAAATTCAAAGGCAAGTTCTATTCTTCTTTCTCCCGTTAATTCGTGTTCTGTGCATGACTAGTTGGACTCCAGGGATTTAATAAATGCTAAAACGGTTGTAAATAAACATAATAACATGTTTTGTGCATATAGGAATTTATGTTTAATCTCGTGAATTAATTGTTTTGCATGATCTTACTATTCTGTTTTTGTTTCCTTCTATGGGTTACGATTAAGCTTTGATGGTTGAGATTAGGGATGCGACTTGATGCCTTGTAACTAATCTGGGACTGAGTTTGAACTCTAGAACAAATTCTTAGAACACGATTTAGTTGCACTAAATTAAACTGAAATAAATTTCTGTTGGAACTTGCTTAAAATTGGACAACAGAGGTTTTGTAATAGTAGCTTTAAAGCTTGTGTTCCATGCATGTTTTAGTTGAATATCAGTCGTTTAATATGTGCCTAGGACTGAGCTTGAACCTAGAACAAAGTTTTAGAAATACCTCAAAGGCTCTGTAATCACCGGAGCTGGAGAAGATGAAGCTAGAACGGGCAAAAGGCTATTGAAGGGGATTGAGCAGGCTCTAAAAAGCCTTAGAGCCGGCTCAAAGGCAAAGGAGCCGGCTCTATCTTTGTTTGGAGCCGGCTCAATGCTAATGGAGCCGGCTCCAAGTGGAAAATTGAGCAGGCTCAATGTTTAATTTGTGCCTGCTCTCTTTTATTGCGCACATATTTGGTTTTAAGGGGTTGTTTGGCTGTGCAGTGTTTTCTGAAGCCGTTTAAAAGCTATTGTGAGATGTAATTAAATGTTAGGGACTTAAATAAATGTTTAAAACATTTAATACCATAATGGTTTAAGGGTAGGAGCAATGAACAGATCAAATAATGGCTATACGTTGCACTGTTTTTGCTAGGTTTATATAACTGGAACTTGGCAAAGTTTTTATATATAATTCAATTATATATAACCCTATATTGTTACTGTGTTATAAGTATGGTAAATTAATTATATTTATCTATACTTAGTTGGATTTAAATTGACATTTAACTTGTTTAATATGTATCAATTTATTGGCTGTTTTGGATGATTCAAATGCTATGTCTTATTCTAGCTGTTTAAATGATTGGAGCATGATATTTAGGTTCTGTAGTGAATACCTAATATTGATATATGTATGAATTTATACCAATGCATATACTGGAGGATGGTTGTTGATTATATAGTGTTGTTTCAATAACTATGCTATATGGAGAATTTGTATGTACCGGTATGGGACGGTGACATACTAGGTATGGATTAGTCAAACACTAAATCCTACCTAATTTGGATTAAGGTATGGATTAACCCTATGAGTTAAGTCCATCACCTACTTGTGTCATATCAATCAAATAATTGAATGATTTAATATGGTTTCAGGATGGATTTGCTTTACATTTATCAAACCACTTTTCAGATGGTTGATATTTTGTAATAGGAGGACACGGACTTTATATATTTATTATATGTGCCATGGTATGAGCTTGAGTCTCAGGACCATGGTTAGGGTGCGTATATTGCCTAGGATGGATAGCTGGACAGAGGTGTTGTTCCCTGGTAGGTCTAGATACACATGACCACAGTATATGCGATTTGCATGGTATCTCTATTCAGGCTGAGACATACCTTTTTGGACTAGTGAGCGTCCTATAATGTGTAATTATACATATATGGACTACTCTAGATATTGTTGAGTCTTTCTAGTATGTATCTACGTATCGGATTCCTGTTTGGATTGTAGTAGATCAGGACTTGCATGTGGGCCTGACCCACCCTTATATTTTTCAGGTACTCGTTAGTTCCAGGGTTAGAGTTTGATCGTGCAGAGCAGATACAGACTTCTATTCTACCGACAACGTAGGACTTCTTTCCAGATATTAGATTTGGATTTTATCTTCAGTTTTCTTCCATGCAGTTTGGGATTTTATTAGGGGTCCACTAGAGATGGATTCCCGAGTTGTTAAACTTATGGAGTTTGGATTGTCAAGGTTTAAATATTTATATTTGAGGATTTATTTTAGTTTCTTTCAGCTTAAATTTTATCTCTTTAATCACTTTTGTATTCCTTGTTCATTTTAAAATATTAATTGTTTGATATCCCTCGGGTTTGGGCCTGTGCCTGATCAACCCGTGTTTCAGATCCGAGGGGTATCACACAGTATGCAACTTAGCACGCAGTTACCTGATGGAGAAAATTAAGTTGCTCAAATTAATCTAGCAATTTATGGGACTATAATGTGATTTAAAAACTTATATTTTTTTTTATGCATGATAGAGTCATTGATATACTAGATGTGATCTACACATGCTATGAATGCTGGTTGTTGAACCTTTAAACCGTTTCCTGCAAATACATGGTTTAACTCTTGGATTTAAATTGCTAAAACTATAAATAGTCTTCTATAATTATTTGGGATGGTTTTGGATTGTAAATTGCTATACTGTTATTTATAGGTTGTAATTTACATGGTTTGGATGTTAATTGTGGGATCTTAGATATTATCATATAAGTAATTGGATTATGGTTTTGAACTGTAATTACTGTAGTGTTGTATAAACTATTCTGCAATTACCTGGCTTTTGGTTTTAGTTATTAAATTGTTGTACTGTTATTGATAGTCTGTAATTTTTACATGGTTTTGGATTTAAATTGCTGAATAAATATATTCTGTCAATTACATGGATATGGAGGATTGTATGCACCGGTATGGGACGGTGACATACTAGGGGACGGTTTAGCTCAAAACGCCTAAACCTAACCAAATAGATTAAAGGAATGGATTTAAAAATATTGAATCCTAATTGTGTTAAGTCAAATCAACTGTAACTAAGTTGAGTGGCTTCCTGGATTAATGGATGATAGTTAAGTCATATCAACTGAATAAGTTGATAGACTAACTAGCTTATTTATTGTATGTCAGTTCAATAAATATTTGAATTACATACCCTGGTTTTGGGACGGACTTTATATATATGTTTATGGTACCACGAGATGAGCTTGAGCCTCAGACTCGTTGGTTAGGGTGCGTATATGCAGTGAATGGGTAGCTGGCTATAGTAGGTTAAGGTGTACCCTGTTAGGTCTAGGTACTCATGTCCACCTTTGGGTGCGTTTTCGCATGTTGCCTTCTATTCAGGTTGAGATCCCTACTGTAGTCCAGTGAATGTCCCTTAGTGTGGATATATCTATATGTATGGACTAGATAGCTATTGTTGAGATATCTAGGGTGTATCTGCGTATCGAGTCACTGTTTGGATTGTAGTTAGAGAAGAATTTGCATGTGGGCCTGACCCACTCTTATTTTTACAGGTGTTTGTTAGTTCCAGACTTGGAGCTGGATCGTGCTGAGCAGATACAGTTATTCACTCCACCGATGACCAGGGTTTTATTTCATATTTTAGACTTGGGTTTCATTTCCAATCTTTTGAGTTCAGTGAGATATTTTAGGGGTCCACTAGATGGATTCCCGAGTTGTAATAGAAATGAAGAAGTAGGATGTATCAGAATCATTCTTTGTTAATTAAATTTTATTCTGAGGTTTTTGGATTATTATTTTAGTTTCTTTTCAGTAATTTATTTATTCTTGTTTTTCTTATTTGTATTCTGTGTTCGATTATTGCTAATTGATTTGATATCCTCGGGTTATCGGGCGTGGGCCTGGCCAACCCGCATCCGGAAATCCGGGGGTATCACAGGCATGCTGTACTATTTTTCCTTCGTCCAGGTTTTGTCCCACCAGGTTTTGAGCCAGTTTTTAATCTATGCAATACTATTTTCAGATACACGAGAATACTGTACTCTTTTTCCTTCATTAGAGTTTTGTCCCACTAGGTTTTTCTTAGCAAGGTTTTAACGAGACATATTTTAGTGTAATTTTGTGAATCCCAAAGGAAAGTGTTATATATATATATACTTGTGTAGAGTCCACGAATTAATAAAGTCATCAATGAGGATTTTCTTGTGACGTACGGAGGAAGATGCATTATTGGCTTATTTGGGAAGCTTCACTTTTAAACCTATAAAAAGTCATTTGTATCTAATGCTGAAGATAGACTTGAATTATACGCTTTTCATTCTCTCTCTCTCTCTCTCTCTCTCTCTCTCTCTGCGTGTGTGTGCAAGTTACTTTATATTTCTATATATATATATATATATATATACATATATATTTATTACATAAGGGAGATTTTATACATTTTTGCCTATACTTTATAAGGATATAGCAAAACTATAATAATTAATAATTCGTAGTTAGTACTGTTGAAGATTTCTTCAAAAGCTCGTGTATAGAATTTTGAGCCTACAGAAGAAAACAGTGACAGAAAAATATAATTGTATCTAGGAGATCTGAAACAAGAACAATGGAGATCTCAAACAAATAATTTATTAAAAAGTTGGTAAATTACAAAAGGATGTTATCTAAAACCAGTACTCTCCACGTATATCATAATTTTTGTGAATATAAAGTATAAACCCCTCCCTCATTACCACCTGTCTAAGGAAATACTGATCACCTTAATTAATTATGGCTCTCTCTCTATTTCATTTCTCTCCCCCTAGAATATCACGTCATTTTCTCTCTTTGTTCACGAAACACAATTTATTCTCTCTCACAAAATTAAAGTGATGGACAATAATTCAATTGATGCAATTAATTCAGCCAAGAGCAGCAAAATGAAGATGACATGCTCCTTTGTGATTCCTGTCCGAGGAATGATCAAGCGTAGGATGTTTACCGGTTTCATTCACAAGCTTGTTGGCCTCGTCTGCAAATTCTTCCACTCCTTTCTCCGCTGCTTAATTTGAACACAGCACATAAGTGTTGTCGTTGCTTCATGTTTGCGTTTCTTCATCTAATTGTCACTGATACTAATCATGATTTATTCTTCATGTTGCTGCTTTGGTGCATGCCACTATTTTGTTTTAGTTTAATACTCCGTATGGTATTGATGTTGTTGTCTTCTGTTGCTCAAGATTGATTGTTTGTGTTGTGATTGATTCAGTGTTACTACAATGAAGTCGCCATTTTATGGAACAGTTTTTCAAGTATATTCTAAGTGTACAATTATAAGTGATGAACTATAAATATAACAAGTGTCACAATTCTAGTTATGTTTTGGATAAAACCCATGTTAATCGGTCCACAATCTTGAACTGAAGATCTCGCTGATAAATCATTATTCTTTGAATAAAAGCACATTTTGATGCACTCAATGTTTTTGATTTTTTTTTTTTAACAATAAAACAAACTTTTGTTCGTAAGAAACTGAAATACACTTTTCAAAAAAAAAAAAAAAAAAAAACCCTGAAATAGTTTCAGAGATGGCCATACATTCCACTCAAAATTTAAAGATTTATCCTTATAAAGTGTGGCTGCTTAATTTATGAGATACGGTATTGTAGGAGCGAGGAATCCAAAACAAGAGAACAGAGTCTACGTACGCGCCTAGAAGAAAGCTCTGCCCTTACAGTAAATTGCTCCTTTTATGGGTTTTTCTGACGGTGGATCCGAACAGGGCAAAACAGTAGTATTGCCCCAGACCCAAGTCACATAAGAGGCCAGAACGAATTCGAGTTTGAGGGCGGGAGTGGGAGAGCGACAAAATTAAATCTGAGAATTTGTGCGAGAGCGTCCATGGAGCGTGAGAGCAAGAGCGCGGTCGAAAGTCTTTGAACCGTCAGCTTCATGGCCAAAATTACAGGTGACTATCCTTTCTCTGTGCATAAATCAATTAATTTATTTTTATCTTTTTTATGTTATATATCACATGTTATGGTGTGTATATACATACAAAGCGCGCGCGCGCGCGCGCACACACATATATATGATATGTTTACGTGATTGTATCAATAAAGTTGTTTTGGGCAACAAATTCTGGCCTTCAGGATTTATATGGCTTTTTGTTTCACTGGATACTCTTTTAAGTTTCTGAATTTTAGTTATCTGTCATTGTCATATGTTTTTGATTACTTGTTAGCAAGAGCACGCTAACTGTTTGATAGAAATACACTACGGTTCCCACAAGAACAAGCTTTATTCCTTTTCTTTTAACCCATTTTAAGCATGGGATAGTTTGATTCACAAATTTCAGAATTTATTGCATCTATTTTACTTCCATTTTGCTGCTATGGAGCAATGTTTGTTTCATATAATTGCTGATAAGGAATTCAGTCATGGAGAATGAGGGAGCCAATAATTTATTTTGGGGACACATGAACCTGATATATATATATATATATTTCTAACTAACAGTGCAACAAGACAACAAATCGAAAAATAGAAGTGCAGCCAGACAACAACCCTAAACCGAAAATGAGCCCAAAAATGGTGCAATATGGAGCAATGTTTGTTTCATATAATTGCTGATAAGGAATTCAGTCATGGAGAATGAGGGAGCCAATAATTTATTTTGGGGACACATGAACCTGATATATATATATATATATTTCTAACTAACAGTGCAACAAGACAACAAATCGAAAAATAGAAGTGCAGCCAGACAACAACCCTAAACCGAAAATGAGCCCAAAAATGGTGCAATATTCAAGGTTCAATTAGTATGGCATTATTCACAAAAAATTGCATTAAAGAAAAATTTAGACACAGACAAGAAGATCAAAGGGAAAAAAAAAAAAAAAAAAAATAAGAAGAAGAAGAAGAAGAAGAAGAAGAAGAAGAAGAAGAAGAGAGGGAAAAAACAGGTTACCGCACATATATCATAGTTGAGTGCAAGAAGATGAAATTTTAAGAAGAGACAAAGAAGAACAAATATAAAGGAAAGAAAAATGAGAGAACTTTGAAGGACTAAAAGATTAGGTTTGATTGAAGGAGGGGAATGCAAATTTTTTTTTTGAAGATAATCAAAGAAATTTGAAGAAGAAGAAGAGTAAAAGAGAAAAACAAGGAAGATTTAGAGAGATTTCTAGAAAAGGGGAACTTTACCAGCGCATATAGTAAAATATCACAAAATTACGTACGGAAGAGAAAAAAAAAAATACACTGAAGCTGGCCCCCAGAGCCTATGGTGGCTCTATCTCTATTCATGGTTCATTTCAAATGATATGAACTCGACTTCCACATCCCACACACATTAAGAGGCTTATCTTTGACACACAATTCAGCTTTGAAAAATTTATTAAGAGTAATGCTATCAAGTTGCTCTCCTCTGGATAAGAGTCACCAGCTCTCTTTAACAATCATAAGATTGAGATTACATTCTCAGGCCTTGTTTTTGCATTCACAAATCTCGAGATTCTTTTACATTTAGCAGGCAATATAGAGAGCTTTTGACTCTTATAGAGGGTGACCTCATTATAGCATTTTCCATTCATTAATGACACAAATCTTTTGGTACAGGCCCCACGAGCGCTTTCTATATATCCATGATAATGGTAGCCCAAGAAATGATTGGTTCAATTTTTTATAAAAATATTTTGGTTTTTGGCTTTATTATTAGGTTTGTACTCTCGAAATAGGACCTTCCATAATTTCATTTCTCGTTCATGTGAATTTGTTTAATATTGCTTACCTTCTTCATTGGGCTTGATTTCATCTTCTTTACTGGATTGGTTTGTACTTCGTGCAGCCTATTACGAGGGAATACTGACCAATTCATGTTGCGATGACGACTAGCACAACTCCTCAAGATCAAAAGAAATGCACCTTAGATGCGTCGGAGCGAAGGTTTGCCCTTGTGAAAGCTGAGCTTCGTCTGCAACAACAGAAGAAGAATAAAAAGAGATATCATGAAGAAAACAAGAGAGTTACTCATATCACAGATTCTTCTTCAGCACATCTCACTGCTCCGTCAGTCACACTCTCTTCGAATTCCTTATCCAAGAAAGGTTCTTTTTTAATTCTTGTACAATGTAGTTATTATTTTGTGTTAGGATTAAACAAGGTTTCATTGATCTATGTTGTAGTTTATGAACCTGTATACTAATCTTTCAGTTGTAACATCTGAAACGACCTTATATGTGTGTGTATATATATGTAAGGATTATCAAAACAATATAGTTTAATTTTTTAACTGGATAAGAATGATGTAAAAAGATACTCTCTTAAAGTAATATTCATAAGAGAAAAGGTGTGACGGTCATATTGTTTTGTGAGGTTTAATTTAGGAGTTGATATTTCATTCAAATTTGTCCTTGTTTGTTTGTTTGTTTGTTTTTTTTAATCCCCAGAATTGTTGTCTATCTCCATTTTTATTTTAATTATTAATATCATCAGTAATTCGCCTAATTTCACCATTCTAGATTATTTGTAGGGAATGCTGCTTTCTCTGGCCACGCTACGACACAAGGTACAATATAGTTTTGTTGCACGTGCTTGTGTTAATAAATACGTTCATATCTATGTGTGTGTAGCCTGTTTATTTCAATTGTTATATATAGACGTGGAAGCAAATGATTCAACATATTTTCAACTCTCTCTTTCTGTACGTGAGAATCTGCTAACAACTGTCAAGCTAATTTTTTGCTTTTCTAACTTATATTTGATTCTTGATGCTGCTTTTACCAATGAGTTTACAACAAGAGAACTTTTAGATAAATTTCTCCATTTTTAACATATCCTTGGAATCATGCAGATGCCTAATAGAAGAGGAACCATAGTCGATCAGATTTTGCAAGAGCTTCTAAAAAATGGTGGTTCAGCTCAGAAATACAGGCAGGGATCCAGAAGCAGCATGAAAATTGACAATTGGATCCTTCTTGACAATTTTGTACAAAGTCATGGTGCAGCTTTTGGCGCTCGTCTTAGGGATTTACAGAACCATTCAAAATGCTCAAATAAGCACATGTCAATGAAGCAACATAAAAAACGTGGAACATTTGATTTATCTCGAGATCCATAAGTGAGATTTATGCTTTACTGCACATGTAGTCACAACTTGCACTTCTCTTTTGATTGCTATATTATTCTGTAAATAGTGTCATCATTTTTGTTTCTCTTCTAGAAAAAAAAAATATAAGCTCTTCTTTCCCTTGTCATCATATATCACTTGATTGATGAATCGGTACCTTTTTTTTTTACTTACTTCCAAATATCGTTCCTTCTTTGTTTAGTCTTGTGTATCTTGCAAATTTGAAAGTTAATTGTGTTCATAATATGGCTTATTGATTAGTGCTATTCAGGTGTTAGGACAAACCATGAAGGGCCTGAACGGAAACTTTTACATATCCCACACAAATTATACCATAGTTGTTAAAGGCTCAATGAGCACTAATACGCCAAAGGTCTTTTGGAGTCTTAGCACAAGGCGCAACATGAGGCGTGAGCTTGATCGAAGTAAGGCATGTGTTGTGATAATAATGCATATTAAATATAATTATATGAAGAATTGCTAAATGATGCAACACAAAATTGTCAATATAAAAAATCAAGATATCAATTAAATTGATTAGCTAAATCAACATACATATATCATTTCAATTTGCATATGGATTCAATAAACTCAATGTACAATCAGACAATTCAAGAAATGCAAAACACCTAATAAAAATTTCTATAGGAAAGGGATTTTTGATAATCAACTAAGAGCATTGGGTAAATTAATACTCATAAATCCTTTTGTATGCATTTACATTAATCAAATTAAATGTAGTTACATATTTGAAACATTTTTTTTCTTTCCTAAATTACATATTTGAAACATTAAAAAACTGTAATAATGACTTTAAACATATATTATCATAAATATTCATAGCAAGTGTTAAATGCAATTAACATAAGTAATGAACCACAAATTTCTGAATTCTGTCTAATATTTCACTAGGTTGAACAAAATGATCCATTAAATATGACCATGATATGATATAGGACATTTTAATTTGACGAGTATTAAGTTAAAAAAGAAAACAATATGGTTAAATACTTAAATGATTCAAAAATAGAATTCGTGCTTTTATTTTTTATTTTTTTAGATCCTATTAAAAAGGACCTGGCCTGTAGTGTACTCTAGTTGAGCGTTGACGAGCCTGAGTTTTTTAGAGCCTAGGCGCACCTTTAACAACTATGGGCTGGAGAGGTATTCCAGGATGAGGTTGGTTAGTTTGAAACTTTTGTTGGAGTTTTATCTAGACGTTTTGATTGGACAGTACTGGAGTACTTATTGAATTGGTTATAGCCTTGGTTTAGCCCTTCATGCAAATACAGGTCAAACCTTGGTAGCAAAGTTTTAATACCCGGACCAGACTTGGTTGGTCAACTAGGCTGTGTTGACTTGGCCCATATATTGATGGGGTATATACTCCAACATGATTAGTTTTGGATATATCTTACATTTAAAGGCACTGTGGTCATTCACAACCACTTTGAGAGACGACAAACCCAGGGTTGTTGTGGTTCCTTAATATTAGGGTGTCACACTGACCAGTTCCTGGTTTCCTACTCTCTTCAATATATCCATTTCTGGTTGATTCTTGATCGGCCTCATGCTTGTCCATTCATGCTGAATTTGGGCTATAGTTTATCTTTCCCTGTCAGACTCGAAGGTCATCTGTTATAGTTTGTGCCTTTTAATGCAATCAACAATTTTGGGGAATGATAATGAACTTTTTCTCTACTCTATGGCAATGTGAGATCTCGAATGCTATGAATCAATGAATGTCTTTTTTGACATTTCAAGTGATATACTTTGAAGAATATTTGCATTCTTTCACAATTTTATCGTTAGTCTATTTCAAATTACTATTTCAACACTTCTCTGAAAATCATTGACATGATTTTTATTACAGCTTTGATACTTTCAAGCCAATAAATGAAATGTGGAAAGGCTACATGATGCAACTTCTTAAAAATGTCGGGTGAGATATTTGTTTCTTCCTGGCTTTGGTTATATTGCAGTTGGTGCAATTTCTTATGTCTTATTACATATTTTCACTTGATATCCTTCTTATCCTGTAACTATACTTGCACTTAATCTGTCAGGAAAAATCAGCTGGCGCAATATCTTCTCACTGCTGACTTAAATGGTGCCATTATTCTAGGTTAATTTATGTGCCACTCTTTTATGCAGCAATATTTTTCATTGAAATTGTTCATATACCCAAGGGAAAATTAAACGTAGTTTTAGTGCATGATCATGTTTGCCCAACCTTTCTATCCAGCTCAAGTTTTTCTACATGATACTTGACGGGCATGTCACAGCAGCCTACTTGCATGAATATTATCAGGCACTAATGGGAAATCACGTAGGTTCCCATGTTTTGTTGCAGCACCTGGACGTAGGGATGTGGACTGGGTTATTATATCTGTTGTCATTAATTTTATTTTTTACTTCTTGCCGAAGGAGATATACCAGAGAGTAGTAGAAAGCAAATTCTGGTTATTAATTGAGGTTTACTTATGTAAGTTTTCTGTCGGTGATAATTTCGAATGAATAAAAGCGGAATATTCTTAACCTTTGGAGACAAAACGGTGTTTTAAGCTTGAACCTTCTACATTATTTTCCAGTTACCCTGAGATTTTGCTTATAAATAAATGACGTAGATAACATGTCTGTTTGTACTTATGCCATTGGTCTTTGAAACTTGGGTTAACGTTGATCCATCTGAATTGATATTTCATGGGCCCAGTCTGCGTACAATCACCAAGTCAACCAAAATATAAAAAAGTCAACTCATTTTTACTGCATAATTCACAACATCTTGCGTGTTTGTTTATTCCAAATATATGTTTGGTTACTTAACTTTTGTTGTATTGTCAATTATCTACAGTGCTCTGTGTAAAATAGCTGCATTTACTGGAGTGAGCGAAATCATGATTCGTGAAGCTGCAAAAATGTTTGGAATAATCACAAAAGATAATGAATTCCGAGGTACTCCATTTGCCAGTAGTAGATCTATTAACTTCTTATATTAATTTTTTTGTGCCCCACATATTTTCAAGGCTTGATACAATCTTCTATATATCCTCCTTTTACGGTAATCTATGCTAGTAAAATAAGGGCCGCTGCTTGGTCTAAGGTTACTAAGATGCTACTGAAAATTTTAAGAGCTAAAATTTCAAGTGCTAGATAAGTGAAGTCACTTCCACTTAAAAAAAATTCCCATTTTTAAGTGGCACTTATATTACGTTATGAAACACACTTAATTGAATAAACACTTAATTGATCGAGACTTGAGTATTGAATTGAATTATGAAATACCTTGTATTGGTGTAATCATTATAAAACTGAAAGGTTTAAAAAAAGGAATGTATGATAAAAAAAAGGACAAGTAATAGATTTAGAAGAGCTCGATGTATATTAGAGAATAACTCTAAATTGAGGAAGATATAGAAGTTGAAGAGAAGTTTGAAAGTGAAACTGAAGTCAAAGAAAAATAATGAATAAGAAGATCAACCTCAGAATATTAGAAAGCTTCAACATCCACAACAATTCTAATCACCATGCAAGAGAACAACAACAAAGTGGTTTAAGGATTTCCTCTTAGAACTACTGTTGTGTTCTTCCCTTAGGAACCTATCTAAAAATAGACAGTGCTATCAATAACCATGATTCAATTGGAAAATGAGTACAGAACTTAAAATGAATTTTCCTTTCATTTTATCTTTATCATTGTGCTGAAACAGAATAGACATAACATCTTAGAACAAGGTGGTGCACATGGAAATTAATGGAATAACCAGCACGACTTTAGTTTTAATCCCTAGTATTATTCAATGAAATCGTTCTCGTGACACTAATAGTTTTTTTGCTCATTTGACTGGAATCAAATTACAAATTTCATTCCAAAGTTTGCCTTTCAGTTCATATAATTATCTTAGCTTACTACATGATTTGAACTAAGTTAACGAACACTAAGCAATATCTTACAAGAAGTTACAACTTGAAACATAAGCATCGAATCATAAATGATTCGTATAACATTCAACGTGAAATACATATATAAAACCAATGTAGAAGAACATTGAAGTTGGGCAATTCCCTATTGAGGTCATTTGCATTTTAAGGCAAGAAGATGTTGGGTCATGCCGTATTGAGGTCATTTGGTAGGTCTTTGTTTTTTTAACCATTTGTGCTGGCAGCATACTCAGGCAGCAATCCATTGTCATTCCTTCCACTAGGACTATCAATATTCTAGTTATGCATCATTGTTCTGATGAACCTCTGCATCAAATGCTCCATTGTTGTTGGAATTGAGGTCCTTACATCTCCATCACTGCCCTGAGCTAGGCACGTCTTGTCCACTCAGAAGAGGAAGAAAGAGGAGACGGAGGTGCTAGTGTAAAATGAGAATTTTGTAGATTGACTTATTGTTTCGTCTTGTGAAGCCTCTTCAATTGTCAGCTGCCAAAATGGACAAACCATTTAGTTGCCTGATATCAAGTTCATTTAGGTCCTTGTTACCTTCAATGAGTTGGCTCAAAATCTCTTCCTTCTAATCATTATTCTTCTGAGCCTTCTTTATCTTTTCCTCCACTTTCTCCATCCTCCTTAAGGTAGCTGTCAGAAGCTGTCACTTTTTACCTCTTTCTAGGAGAGTAAATGTTGGGCCATGCACTATTGTGGTCATCAGGCAGCTCATTGTCCTTCGTATGACTAGTAAAGGGCCTAAAGGCATGCTCAGGAACATTGCCATTACTCCTTCCATCTCTCCTTGAGATGGCCAAACTGTCAAATCAGCCATCCCAGATTGTAAACAACATGCTGGTCTGCACATGATGGGACTGACTCTTTGGCAACCTTCTTTCATAAAACAACCCTAATTTTCTTGAGACATGCTTTTCTAGAACTCCATGTGTGTTTGTGTTGAGAGAGTGCGAAATATGTACAAGTAGTATTAATGACGATTGAACAAAGCAAGAAGATGATGGCTAAGAAAGTTGGCATAAGGTATGGATGAGAAAAGACTTTCAGGAACTAGAAAAGAATTAAAAGGTAATACACAGAATGAAATCTGGCAGCTCACCTATCAAGCCTTTTATAAGGTAAACATACGAAGGATTGTAACTTTGGACATTTGAATAGTTTGATTTGGTTGGTAGTTGAAATTGAATTGCATTAGAAGATGTTATCTTTCTCGACTGACCTCTTCTGTTAACTCTCCCTTTTATTTTGATGGTTGCAATGAACTGAATAAGCTACAAGTCAGAGATGACGGTGGAGGAGGAAAGGTCTCCATGATCTCGATGGAGTCTTTGACGTGCAAGGGACTAATGATTCCTATCTATTTTGTGCGCTTATACTAAATAAACCCTAGGGGACTATTTTAGTTACTTGAAGGTGTGATGCATTTCTCATTCCAAACAAGGACTCTATATATACAGAGAGCAAGGTAGACTATCATCATTAAGTTACCGATATTGAAGCATTTTTTAGTAATGAGTTTGAGATATTTTGGTAAGGAAATCAATAACAGAAGATTTTGAGAATTTGGTGTTTGATAACACATCTCAAATTTAAGGTTATCTATGGTAGGTAACGGAATCAATGAAAGAAGATTTTTAGAATTTGGTGTTTGGTAACACATCTCAAAATTGAGGCTACTTATGGTAGTTAATGAAATGTATGAAAAAAGATTTTGAGAATTTGGTGTTTGATAACACATCTCAAATTTTAGGCTATCTATGGTAGGACAACCCATTTCTATTAAATGGTAAGTTTCTAGACAAAACAACCACTTTGAGATATTAAGATGGATAAGTGGAGTGACTAGAAGAGATGGGGACCATGGGGTCACTAATGAAAGTTTGAGCTGAAACCTAGGTGTAGCACCTGAGAAAATTAGAGAGAGTAAACGTAGATGGTTTGGACACACACAATTGAGGCCTAAAGACGCGCCAGTCATTGTTGAGAAAATTAGAGAGAGTAGACTTAGATGGTTTGGACACATACATCGGAGACTTAGAGACGCGCCGGTCAAACGAAAAAGACTAGTTGTAATAAAAGGTAAGAGACGGAGAGGGCAACCAAAAATAACATGGGATGAGGTTGTTAAAAATGACTTAAAAAAGTTAAATATAGTAGGTGAAATGACATGTAATAGAAACGATTGAAGAGAGAATTCATGTGACGGACCATCATTCATATGGGATTAACTAAAAGATGATGATGAATGGATGGTTTTTCCTATATCGTAACATTTTTCTATTTAGTCTCGATTACACAAATCTTGTAATTAGTGATTTAAATGAAATCAACCGTTAATCATATATTTTTCTTACTATTTCAACTGATTTAAATTTGATCTTCCCTTTCTCTAAAAAATTACCCTTAATGTGGATTGTGGCCTGCATCATTTTGCCCCGATGGTGTAGTTATTGATCTTTGCTGTATATATAAACCATCTTATTACTCTCCTTAAGATGATTTTTTTGATTTATAGGCAGGTTTTTAGATCCGATCCCATACAAGAGACTAATATTTTTAGAAGTGTCATGGAATAGTTTGAAAAGAAACTTATTTAAGAGGAAAGAGATGTGTTGTAAAATAATTATGAAGTTTGAGGCCTACATGATCTGAACATTATAGGCTTAAAATTATATTGTGATACTTTTTTTTTTTTTTTTTTTTCTTTCCTGGAGAATAAAGCAATTCGCATAAAGAAAGTTTAACTGTACATGGTTCAAAACATGAGAGGTTTGAAGAGCCTAGATAAGAAACCCATGGGAAACAAGAAACAGGAGACCAGTACGCTTGGCCCAAAAAGACATAGCCACAAGCCCAAAGGCATTCAAAAGACCGTTTGCAGCAGTACATTCATTCGGATGTTGACCTGAGCTTATTGTCACGGGCCTAGAGATTTGGCGCAGCGGCACGGCCCGTGCGGCACCAAGGCGTTGCTTCAGCTCGCGCAAGCGCC